CGTTCAGTGACCCTATCTACTACTAGTGCATTTATATCAAAGTTAACGTTACGATCTATCCGAGAATAAAATTTTAAATTTATATATCCCTGTGTCGCTTTACTAGTACCTCCGATGCCTTTAACTACAGGACATGAAAGTGACCTATTTATTACTAAGCCTAAGCGCTGGCAACATTGTCGTGTTATAAAGCTATTTTGGGCTCCGCTGTCCAGCAGTGCACGGACGCTTTGTTTGTTTCCACGCGAATCCCTAACCAAAATACGCGCCGTACCCAGTAACACGGTTGAAGGAGGTTGTGCTCCCATATTTGCCAATGAGCACAGAGCGACATCATCAGGTCGACCGCTAGAATCGTTGACCTTAGTAGGGGTGAATTCCTTATTCGCCTTACTTGACGCCGCTATGTTGCTATTTTCAAAATGTAATAGCGTGTGATGTTTCCTGGCGCACTTGCTACATACGGAACTCGAATTGCATTTTGCAACTAAATGCTTATCGCTTAAGCAGTTCAAACATAGGTTGTTTGTTTTTACTAACTTATAACGTTCGCTTGGTGAATATTTACGAAAAGTCGCACAGTTATATAAATTACCGTGTTTATCTTTACATACTATACAAGTATGCTGGAGCGATGTCGGCGTAGCGGTTACGTAAGTTAACGACCCTGCTATTTTAGATGGTTGAGTCTGTCTACGGTCGACGCACCTTTTAATCTCCTGTTTAACGTTCGGTGAGCGCTGCATCACCTTTATTTGATCTCGCACGAACGATGCTAATGAATGAAAGGAAGGCATCTCCGAGCTACGATGCTCCATTTCAAACGCACGCACGGTATCGGAGTCTAATTTCTTTAATGCTATATGGAGAAACACCACGTCCATGAGGTCATTAAACTTCAAATTCTTAAGTGCAGCCACCGATGCCACAAATTTATCGAGAAACTGCTCTAAGCCGTTGATGTTCGCGGATGATATAGGTTTAAGATCGAATATCTGGTTCAAATATTCGGAAGCTAACATTCTCCTATCTTCATATTTAGTTTTAAGCGTTTCAAATATTAATACGTAATTGTTTGCTGTAGGTGTAAAACCCGAGCAGATCGACTGTGCTCTGCCACTAAGTTTACTAATTAAGTAATATAATTTTTCAGCGTCCGATAACGATGGGTTGTTGTGTATATTGTTTTGAAAACTACTGAAGAAGAAGGGCCACGTCTTAATATCACCATTGAATACCGGAATATCTATTGGCGGTAACCTAATTGAGTCACGAGGGCGTACCTGCATTTCAGGCTTCGCTTCACCTTGAGATTGTAGCAATTTTGCGGTTCTCTTCACGCGACACAACATATCTTCGAATGCCAGCAGCGGTTGGTAGTTCACTATGTATTTCGGGTCGGTTTGTAGTTCCGAATGATTAATTTGATCTAATATTCTTTCGTAATCTGTCCGCAAATTATTTATCGTTTCGATTTCATTTAAAAAGGCCTCCCGTACTGCCTCTATATGAATGTTCTTTATATAATCACTTATATTCTGCATACGCGAAAAGAGTATGTCCCTCTTGGCATAAAGCGTTTTAATTTTGATTTCACTTCCACTAACTGCCATTTTAAATTATTATAATAAAGTTATATTAATCACAATTAATCTCACACGCATAAACGACGTAGGATGAATACTCGGCGTGCCGTATTACGTAATCAGATCGAGCGCCCGATGCAGTCAAGGCTACGCGTCGTTTGCTAAACCTAATAATTTTATAAAATTGTGGGGTAAGCGTATCAAACGGTTGCTATCACGCCGTTTCAATTATTTAATAAGCTTTAAATTTAACCAAATACGAGCGCTATTAAATGAATAATTCTGTTTGCGAGTAACAAATCAAAATTTTAATTTAAACGAACACTATTTAAGTCTATTCTATAAATTAGAGTGCGTTATCTAAACAATTAATTTAATAATTCGACCAGAAAATGGTTGGATAACCACTAAACACCAATCCAGATCCTGCTCGAAGGACCATAAAATGGTGGAGCCACGTGTTTAAGGCTGCCGAAAATCTAGTTCCCCGGTCAAACCTCAAACCTATTACGCGAGATATTAACTAAAGTGGACTGTATATGCGATTGCTTCTACGCTTACGTCAAGCGACTACTATAGCATGCGGTACAATGCACTCGCTCTTCCCTAAACTAAACTATTACTTGTCGAATCGATGAAAGGAATCCTGCTTGACTAGGAAAAAAAACACAGATTGGAGCGGGTTAAATTATTAGCAAGCAGGTATAATTAAGGAGTATTGACTCACCGGGGTTTCTTCTTCCTGTCGATCACTATAGCGGCGACTTCCGGAACCTCCTCTGGACAGACACTTCTGGGGCCCCAGTGGTGCGTCAGGAGAGAAGAGTTGGTTCAACGACGACTGCGGCGGGAGAAGAGGCTCGCGCATCGGTCGCGCGTGTCTTATATATCCTCGGCTCGGGTGATTACGCGATGTTCTAGAATCGTCTTCTTTCCCCTCCCACCCCACCACCCCGATGTGTCGATAGGAGGGTACGAATGATATTGTTTGGAAAGGAAATAATGATTCTACAAGTTCCTACCGTCAAAATAAAAAAACGCGAATGGTTTTCCGCGCAACCATATATATATATATAAATATATAATCATTTCATATATACACCACCTCCCTCGCCCGTTACCGGGGGGTTGCCACCTTGGATGTCAATCAGTTGTTCGATAAAGTTACTACCTGTAGAATTAAGTAGCTGGCGCTACTATATATACATATATATTATATATACACCACCTTTTTCGATTGGCTGAGTGCTGTCGTCTGCATAGCAATGAGTGTTACCGGTTTAAATATGTCATGGATATGCAGAAGAAACAGCGTCGGTGATAGCACGCAGCCATGTGGAACTCCAACGTTAATGGACTTGTAATTGGAGCATGTGCTATCTACTACGACCGTGATGCTCCGATCAGCAAGAACACTGGTGATCCAATTGCACAATTTCTCGGGAAGCCCATAGGAAGGAAGCTTCGTAAGAAGCGCTTTGTGCCAAACCCGATCGAAGGCTTTCGCTATGTCCAAACTAACGGCCAACGCCTCCCCCTTGGACTCTAATGCCTGCGTCCATTTATGAGTTAGGTAATCTAGAAGATCACCAGCCGAGCGACCGCGACGGAAACCGTATTGGCGATCACTAATCAGCTGGTGGTCTTCAAGGTACCGCATGAGCTGGCTGTTAATATTGGATTCCACTATTTTATACAAGGAGGTGGTGGCGATAGGTCTATAGTTGGACGGATCAGAGCGGTTACCTTTTTAGGGATCGGGTGCACGAGGACTGTCTTCTATGATTTCGGGACTATGTCGAAGGTAGCAGTACTGGAAAAGACGCGTTCAAACCGGTGCCAACTCCGGAGCACACGTCTTCAGTACGACAGGAGGGACGCCATCCGGTCCACTCGACTTGACTTGTTGACGTCCAGTGAGAGGAGTGCTCCGCGCACTGAGTGTTGGGTAAGAAGGACATCCTGCATGGAGCACTCACTCCAGGAGATGGTCGGCGTTGTGTTGACCCGTCATCAAGAGTCGAGTTGGACGCAAAGACAGAGCGCAGCAGGCTTTGTCCTTTGCGGCATGGGCCACTGAGTCGTCCTCCCTGTGCAGAGAGATGGCTGACAGAAGTTCCCTTGGACACCCTTGGCGAGAGACATGAATGCACGTGTTCCCGAAGGAAGACGAACTAGTTTCTCGCCAATTCTGCCGATGTGCTCCGACTTTCCCTTGACAATGACACTTTTGAAGGACCTGGAGGCAGAATTATACTTCTTTTAAAGGGCGCTGGTGTTTGCATCCCGAGACGTCGATGCGCGAGCCCAAGCTTGTTAGCACTCTTGCTTATGACGTAGTCCAATTTTGCAGGAGCGACCAAACCAAGGCTGGGTTCTACCTCCGATAGGAACCACAGATGATGGAATAAAAAGTTCCATCCCCTGTAGCACCACATCAGCGACAAAATCAGCAACAACGCTGTGATCATCCGGCGAGAAGCAAACCTGCCTCCTAGGGTAGGATGCAAAAAAAGATCGCATCCCGTCCCAGTCTGCTGACATATAATGCCAATCACGGCGGCAACCTGCAGTACGCAACCGCGATTAGTGCGTGAGTCACCGTACTCCAGATCAGACAATGGTCCGAGGAGCCAAGAGGGGCATCGACGGAGACCTGATATCCGTCCGAATGAGAGGTCAGCAGAAGTTCCAACTGGGAAGGTACATGATCTTCCACATCTGGGATCCGCGTAGGCGAGGTAACCAGTTGTGTCAGACAAAGTCATGAACAAATCTACACGCATGATCGGTTAAACGAGAACCAAGCCATTCTTCGTGGAGGGCGTTAAAACTCTAAGAGGGTTTTTGGAGCAAGCAAAATCTCAGCGCTGTCTCAATGCATGTTGGTGGCTTTCACGAATCTGATTGTCATCCACAAAGAATAATTAGATTAAGAACAGCTTTCTTAACGAATTTTTATCTTCACCGCTAGTCACGTGGTATATCAGCATTTAAAACTACTATTAACAATTTTATTTCGACATCGTTAACATTGAACCGTTGTTTGTGGCTCAGACGGTTAGCGCTCGCTGTAAAATTCACAGTACGCGAGCAACCCGTGCTTGAAGTCCGCCAGCACCGGCGGTGAAGGAAAACATCGCGAGGAAACCTGATTTCTGAGGAATAAGAAAAAAAATATTTCGAAGACATGTGAAGGTCGCCAACACACATTGGGCCAGCGCGGCGGATACTTCCTTGCCCTAACACCCTCTTAGAAATGAGAAGAGGCCTGTGCCCAGCAGTGGGACGTATATAGGCTATAATTAGAACTTTTTAAACTTTTTCCACACAGCCCATGAGCTATTGTAGGCTGAAAAATTGAAACTAAAGTTGTAAATCACGAAAATTATAATAAATTTGTTTTATGTACAGTTGCACCAAGTATAAATGAACCGTTGGAAGGCTGGGTTGATAACTGGTTTGGTGCAACATCACTAATGGTCATGATCGGCAAAGGTCATTATAGGGTCGTAGCTGGCGCTAGTTCCAATTTAATTGACCTCATACCAGTCGACTATGTCTCAAATGTATCTATAGCAGCTGCTGCCAAGTGTGAGGGGTAAGATATTATTTATTCATACATTTAGAATTTCAGATTTGTTATTGCCTACTTATTTAATACTGCCCCTAAATCTATCTTATAGTAATAAAACAAAGCCTTACTACATTTGAGAGTGTTGGTAAAAAAAATAAAGTCACTTTGTACTAGAATTATGGCTTGTTTAGCACCTGCTAATCTTTTTCTATACCTAAGCTTTTTTATTGTTTTTAATTATTAGTTACGTAAGCAAGAGAGCAAGCTATCACATTGTATTACAATAACTATAATATTAACAATAACTAAAATATTTTGATGTGCTCCTGGCATTAATGTTTTTTTAAATGTTTCATAGTATTCAAATATGTAATCATCTAGGATCTAGCAGGGATTTTTTATAGTATCATCATCACCACCACCACCACCACTAAACAACTATCACCACCACTACCACCACCACCACCTCACCTAACCACCACCATTATCATCATTAAAACCGTCAACAGTACACTGCCGACATATGCCTCCCCCTAAGGAAAGCCTTTGTGGCTTTCTTGAGGGAGGTATGGTCCTGTAAAGCCTACATCAATCGACTTCCTGCATGGTTTATCGCGAGTCGTCCCCTAATCTAGTAGGAGGATGCACTAACTTCGATTACCAGCACGAGGCTTCCACTCGATAACCGTTCTTTCTTATCGGTAACTCTGTCTGGTTCTATTGCGGGTATCCTCATTACAAAGTCTACCACGCAGATAATCTCTGAGCCCTTTCCATAGCTCGCTATGCAATTTTAAGCTACATCATACGTCCAGTAGTGAAGGACCGTTTATCACATCCATATGCCAACCCGGGCAACATGCTCTGGTTGTATGATGATTATAGCATAGAGAAACCCAATTATTTGAAAAACAGGTTTGTCGTTTATTTTAATTTTACTTTTACCCTGCTTTGGCTAAAGTCAAGTTTAAAATTTAATTGGATGTGAAATAACTTATATTTCACATCCCATTAAATTTGTAATTATTATAATTTAGAAATTAGTATCCTCACCAAAAACAAGTATTAAATTTGAAGAAGCCGATTTTGTACAAATTTGCTTTAATGATTGACGTTGTAACTATAAACATTGACATTTTCATAGGATAAGGCTGATATACGAGCGTAGTCCACCTGATAGTAAGTGCATGCTGTGGCCCTTAGACATTTATTAAATCTTTCCTCGATTAAAAATTAAAACCTTAAAAATTATGCGTTGTCACCCCTTAGGACTAAGATGGAAAGCCTCGTTTCGAATAAAAATGGTCTCTGCTTCTCTACACTCACCATACAAAATACGGTAGCATTTAACTGCTACCAGCGTAAAATGCTAAGAAGCATTTTACGCTGGTATACTGTAAGAGTGTAGTTTTAATTTATTCTTGCTATAACTATAATGTTGCTGCATAACAACTACCACCATTAAATTCCATATTTTTTATTTTTCCATACTTCTTTTAGAGTAATTAAATTAATCTGAAAATATTTTCAGTTATGACGGACTGTTGGTGTATAATTGTTGCACTAGTGGTGCGAATCCTGTTACTTATGGAGCGGTCTGTAGATGTTTTATAGAAGAAAGCGTTCGTTTCAAACTTAGTAAGTATATCGTTCAAATCATCTCCATCATCATTATTATCATCATAACAACACTTCACAAATCCACTGTTGACCATAGCTCTCCCTCAATAAATTCCATATAGCGGGGACTTGAGCCACCTGCATATTTTCTATAGTAGTGCTTAATCTACAAACACATTTTATTCATCATTACAGTATATTTAAAGTCAACTGCTGAACAAAGGCTACCCCTAAGGTGAGCTGGCAACCGCAATTTTTTATTATTTTAGCTGCTATCAGGAAGATGCTGCTCATTTCCTGTTACAGTTTCCCTCTGCCACCTCCTTCGACACCCACGCGATGATAGGCGGTAATGGTTATTTTTATATATTTTTGGCCGCTACTACACGTAAGTATGTTCCAAATACATTGTTGTAAATCTATATAATTTTTAATTTAATTAGAGAACGTTGTTTTGTTTTTATTTCAGACGATATTCCATACCCCACCATAAATTTCACGAAACATCAGTGGCTTTTAAAAACTATAATTTTTATAATGCAGATGATACCAGCCTTTTTCGCTGATTGTTTTTTATGGCTGTCTGGGAAAAGACCAAGGTACGTAAAGTTCACTTATATTGAATTACCTACTTATACATAAATGCTATAATATATGTAAATAAAATTGAAATGTCTGTCGGTTATATTGAAATAAATTTATTTTATTGAGCTTGCGTAGGCTAGTCAGACCTTGATCAAATTTATATGGGACCACATGAGTAGCACCAGATTTCAATTAAAAAAATCGTCAAAACCTCACCTAAAAAAAGTTCTAAGATAACACATATAACAAAATACAGTCGAATTGATAACCTCCTCCTTTTCTCGAAGTCGGTTGAATAAAAGAAAAGGTACACTTATTATTCTTTACAATTACAATTTAGTAGTAAATTAACGTTGCAGTAAAGGTTTTATCGCCTCATCTTTTAACACTTATAGTTTTGTTGTAAATTGGTGCCCTAAAACTTTAACAGTTGCTCTGTCTGCGGAATATTGGACAGGGAAAGGGTTAAAAATAAGGTGTGAATTTTTTTGTCTCAAACTGTAAATCAAAAACGTTTTGTTTCAAAATTTTTTCATCATTTATTCGTTTATTTTAACTTAATATAACAATTAATATTAAAAACTGAGGGTAGTTGTGCTAACTATGGGTCCCCACCGTTACTATGGGTGCTGTAAAGCACCGGAAACTTCGGGAGTTAAAAAGTTAAATTAAACGCGATAAAATCCGGAAAAATTTGTTTCATTTAATGTGTAGGGTTCCCGTAAATTTATTTATAAGAAATCATTATATATTTTACGAAATTTTTTTCATTGTTAAATTTCGTTTATGTTTACGATTAAACATAAAAAATCTTGCATGTCCTTCGGATAAAATGTAGTAGTGTAGAAGTATCATAATCATCATCATCATTACAGCTCTTCACAAGTCCACTGCTGAACATAGGCCAAGGAATGCCATAAAGCACGGTCCTGAACCACCTGCATCCATCGACTTCCTGCATGTCTTACCAGGTCGTCACTCCATCTAGTGGGAGGTTGCCCTACACTACGCCTACCGGTACGAGGCTGCCACTCGAGAACCTTTTCTTCCCATCGGTTGTCGGTTCTTCGAGCTATATGGCCGGCCCATTGTCACTTCAGCTTACTAATCCGTTGGGCTATGTCACTCTGGTTCTACTGCGGATTCCTCATTTCTAAGTTTATCACGCAGAGAAACCCCGAGCATAGCTCTCTCTATAGCTCGCTGAGTGTCCTTGAGCGTCCTCACGCGGCTAGCAGTGAAACCACGTCTCAGATCCGTAAGTCATCACTGGCAACACGCACTTGTTGTACAATCTAGTATTCAGATTTTGAGGTATACCTGACGAAGTATAGATACATCATAATCACTCTTTTATATCTATTTGTGAAGTTTCTTCACAACTACTTTAGCTATTCCTGGATTAGCCCGGGCAGATAGACATACACAGACAGACAAACATTTTAAGATTAGTTATCCATGTCTTAATGGCATAATATCAACCATTAATAAAAGGCGGTTATAATAGACGGGTACTGCAATTTTACAACAACTTAACAATATTTTGTAAATGTATTTCGTATTAAGAATTTTCTATGATTTTCTACAGGTACGTAAAACTACAACGAAAAGTATTAAGGATGAATAATACTCAACAATATTTCACGTCAAGATCCTGGGTAATGGATTCAAAGGAAACTCAAGCTCTATATGCATCCTTGTCGGATTTGGACAAAAATATGTTTCCGTTTAATCCTGTTAGTATAGTGTGGTCTGAATACCTGCCCGTCTATTACAAGGGCGTCAAAACTTATTTATTTTAGATATTTTATAACATTGTTAGTTCATATTTAATGCTGTTTAATATCCTTTTTAAGGTCTATTTTATCGGGTATAAATCTAATTTTATGAATATTTTAATGAATTTTACTAAGCAGTTTAAAACATAGTTTGTGTTTTAAAAGAAGAGTGTGGTTTGCAAGATGATGCAGTAACCAGGATTAAGAAAGGAATGCTTCGGTGGTTTGATCATGTAGAAAAAATGAATGCGGAAAGAATCACAAAGCAAATATATGTTGCAGAAGTGAATGGAAGAGTCGGAAAGGGACGTCCTAGGCGGAAGGGAGAATTGGCGATATACTAAAAATGGGCCAAATTAAGAGTACCCTTAACCGACGAGTAGGTATATGGATGTGAAAGAGGCGAGAGAGGTATGTCAGGATCGTGCTAAATGGAAGTCTGTAGTCTCTGCCTACCCCTCTGGGTGACAGGCGTGAGTGTTTATGTTATGTTATGTTATGTTATGTGTTTTAAACTGCTTAGTAGCATGCCTATATTACAATAGTGGGTATATTCCTAGTAAATAAAAGACCATTTTAATATAATTTTTTAAACTAGTTTAATTTTAAAAGGAAAAAAATATGTAAGCTTATTTTAATAAATATATTTAATTAATTTTTATGACTAAACTTTTATTATCACACATCTTTTCTTACAAATAGCATTTAAATTTTAAAAAATTTAATTAATGAAAAGTTTGACAAGAGGCGACAGTAGTCTAGTGGTTAAGGCTACTGACTGTGAAACTAAAAAGTCGTGGGTTCGAATCCGCCAGTACTGTCGTGAACCAATCCTGACACAAGCATTTTAAGCTGAGCTGAAGTGCTTTACGGCAGTATTAGTCGTGTTAAAGGCACTATTATTATTGTTTTAAAATTGATAAAACAACGTTATAATTATAATAGCTCGAAATTCATACCTGAAATGTACTTCAGTAATAACCAGTAGCGCGTAGAACTGCACTACAACCACGAAAAAGAGTACAGGTCTTGTCTCCATTGGGGAATACGATTTAACTAACTTTTGTCTGCGGATTAGCAACCGAATGTATAGGAATAAAGCTTATTAACTTTTACGGGATTTATTGCGTTTACTACCAGTAAGTAGACTAGCAAATCCGAGCGTTACTAATACTATATGCCCTCTTTAAAACAGCCAATTGGTGGGCCCCGAATTTGGCAGTTTATGTTAAGTAGGTCGGAGCCCAGTCAACTTTGAGTACCATTGTCTCATAATATAATTGATATTACATGATATTAGCCAGAGTTCCAACGCTTGTCGGGTGGGTTGGCAGCCACAATATCTTTTCTAGTTTACGACACCCACTGGATGTTATAGAGTCTTGGTATTTCTACACCGCCATTACACGTAATTTTTTTTATACAAGAGGGGCAAACGAGCATGCGGCTCACCTGATGTTAAGTGACTACCGCCGCCCATGATCAACCGCAACTCCAGGGGAATTGCAGGTGCGTTGCTGGCCCTTTAGAAAGAAGTAAGCTCTTTTCTTGAAGTTCCCCAGGTCGTATCGGTCCGGAAAAATCGCCGGTGGTAAACTATTCCACAGAGAAGTTGTACGCGGAAGAAAACTCCTTTTGAAACGTACAGTGGTGGACCACCAAGCATCCAGATGGTGTGGATGGTATCGGGAAGTTTGCCGCGTAGTGCGTTCATGTAATTTGGCGGTTGGGATTAATCCGAATAACTCGTCAGAGCACTCCCCATGGTATATGCTAAAGAAAATGCAAAGAGATGCAACATCTCTTCGCAGCGCCAGTGAATCGAGCCGATCAAAAAGCACTCGGTCGTCGACGATTCGAGCCGCTCTGCGCTGGATACGGTCAAGTGGAAGGAGCTGGTACTGGAGAGCCCCAGCCCATAGATGGGAACAGTATTCCATGTGCGGCCGAACCTGCGCCTTGTAAAGTTGCAGGCGGTGTGCCGGCATGAAATAAAGTCCCGCTCTGCTGTCCAAACACCGTCGGTAGAGACACGCTGCAACTATATTGTGATTGTAGCACGAAATAGTCAGCTCGACCGGGGAAGGACCACGTTCTCACAGAATACCAGCGTAAAATAGCAGCGTAATACTGCTCTGTTTCGTATGCTGAGTTTAGAGATCCGGAGATCTTTTTTACTGGAAACAAGACATTCCATCTTAGTCCTCAGGAATGACAACGCTTCTGCGCTTTGAGGATAAATGTAGATGTCTATGGGCCACAGCATCCACTTACCATCAGGTGAACTGTGTGCTTGTTTGTCACCCTTATTGTATAAAAAAAAACCTTAAGATCCGTAAAATTACCACTCTAATCTCGTTTCTTTTTATTTTAATTTCTACTTTCACTCATGACAATACTTTATTTATAAAGATTTTGTAAGACCACAAGATAGAGAATTTTGCAAAGATTTTATAATGCTAAACTTTTTTACAGAAAAGTAGTCTCTAAATATAAGTTTTCCGTCTTGTTTTTTTTTTATTTTGTGAGTTGGACAGTGTCAATTTCAGCCATTGACTGTACTGACGTGTGAACACGGGCGTTATCTTGATGAAACAGGACTTTTCTTCTGAGCATTCCTCGACGTTTTTTTTATTTCCTCTCGTAAACGACGTAGTAAGGTGCAGTAGTAATCAGAGTTTATAGTCTGAACCCTTTCAAGATAATCAATCATAATCACACCTTTCGAGTCCCAGAATACCGAAGCCATCACCTTATTTGCCGACAAAATCGACTTAGCCTTTTTAGGGGGTGGTGAACCAGGTCTTCTCCACTGTTTTGATTGTTGTTTTGTTTCCGGTGTACAGTAATGAACCCATGTTTTGTCCATAGTAACAAAACGATTCAAAAAATCATCTGCATCGGCTTCAAATAACTCCAAACAGTCGCGTGAAATAGTCAATCGCGTCCTTTTTTTGTTCAACTGAAAGCAGTCGCGGAACCCACCTCGCAGACACCTTGTGGAAACCCAACTCGTTGACAATGATGTTTTGAGTTCATTCATAAGAGATGCCTATAATCTCGGCTATCTCTCTAATTTTTAATCTGCGGTCTCCCATTATTAAATCAAGTACTTTTTTAATATTTTCGTCAGTAGTTGACGTCGAAGGCCTTCCAGAGCGGGGTTCATCTTTCACACTCTCTCTACCACGCTTAAATTCTGCTATCCATTTTTTGACGGATGAATATGACAGAGCACAATCGCCTAATGTACTGACCATGTCATCATGGATGGCTTTTGATGATAGCCCCTTCTTATGGAGGTACTTAATGACGGCACGCTGCTCGATTTGCTCCATTCGCGGAAATTATGTCCGATTACTTTGTTAATAAATTTATAAAATCACAACTAATTATCGCACACGTTTCGAACTTCACACAGTGAACTAGTCTGAACTGAACTAAATAATGTGGGTAGATTTGATTTTTAGAATTGAATGGATCTGTGTTAGGCCGAGTACTTTTCAATCCACCTAGTATAACGGGTAATTAACAATTGCATTTTTATTATCATCATTATCACTGTCTTTTATGTCAAATAATGAATAATTTAGTAATAATGTAACAAAATGATTTTAATAAAAATGATATTTTTTGAATTCAACACCGTTTTAATGAGTTTCCACCACTAAAACCAAAACCATACATAGGATTTAATCTTGTATCATTTAATATTATTCATTTATTAATTAATTAATAAATATTAAATCAGAAAATCCTTCAATCTAGACTTCACACATTTACACCCGGCAGTCGGGTAAAAACTATCATATTTCTAGAGATGCTTATTTAGCACACCGTACCGTGAATGTGACGTCATCGAGCGAGGTGCACAGATAATGTGACCGAGTAGTACGCGAGTGATCGATATTATGTGATAATATCGGAAATGCGCATCAATGGTGAATGACATGAAAACATTAGAAAACATCCAGTCTCGAAGACAAACAAAATTGTTTTATTCTGTCACATTTGAGCACGAAACTATGTAATTTGAGCACGAAACTATGAAATTTTCAAATACGAGTAATAAATGCTTGTTATATTTAGCTAGCTTTAGTACCTTACTCGCCGTTCGAATTTTGACCCTAAATTCACCGTAAGTACTTATTTATTTTTTCGTTTTTGTACACCACAATACAGAAACATCAAATACAGTTAAAACTAAATTAAAATATGTACAATAGGCGGCCTTATCACTCTGAAAGTGATTTCTTCCAGACAACCTTTGCGTAGTGAAATGATGCAAACAAATTTTAAAATAGAGGGGGACATACAAAATAATAGTAATAAAAATAAAATAATACATACAATATCATATAATAGATTAAATGAAAAGAGTACGAGAAAGGTAAAGTAATTAATGTAATAGTGTTCTAAATAATGCGATTTAACAAGACTTTTGAAAGAGTGAAGAGATTTAGCACGATGAGTATGGAGAGGTAAAGAGTTCCACAATCACGCAGCAGTTACGGTGAAGGATTTCTTGAAAAAGGAAGAAGAATGCAAAGGTATAGAGAGAGAAAGATTGACGGAGGATCGAAGGAACCGATTATGGGTAAGAGAAAGATACTGGAAACGGTTTTTTAAATAAAGTACCTTACATTTTAAATTACCTAGGACCCATTCGCTCTTTTCGTAAATATTTATGTAAGGTCAAAATACAGTTGTGAACAAGGTCTCTAATAAGATGTAAGTGGATTATTAAAAAACCTAAATAAATGGAAAGCAGAAATAATAAATATATAATAATGACACAACTTAAAGTGAATGTATTTGGAAATAATAAACTATATCCCCGAATTACGAATACATATACGTGGAATGCACGTAGCATTTTCAGTTCAACACGAAATTCCACGATTTTACTTAACCGATATTGGAGCGCTAAATCTGAATTCCGTTTTAGGAAACAAGATAGTACCCGTCCACTTTAGAGCTATATATATCACATAGCACAGATTGAACTATTGATATAACTATTG